GTCTCGTAAAATTAAAAAAAATTATACATTTATGCAAGTTGAAAGGAGGAGAGAGAAAAGCTATTTCCGCAAAGAGACCCAGAAAGAGAGAAAACTAAACCAATATACAACTACAAATTACGGATAATTGTTGCATATAAACTACATTCAAGGATCTTAAAATTTTACTCAAAGGACACTCACACACATTAATTAATACCCATACAGATACAGAATAACAAATATATGTATATATTAAGGACTGCCAGTCAACATCATCTTAACAGCCTGTGGCTATGGCGTGTTTGAAATCACAAAAGCTTTGACACATTGCACAAAAATAACGCAAAAAGAGGGGAAAAAGTATCTTTTACTGTCTGTTCTGTGCGAGTGTGTTTGTGAATTTCTGCGTATCTGTGAGTACAAGTGCTTTTTGTGAGCAAATTCAACTGTGAATTGGGTCAAGGCCATGCAAACAGCTTTCAACTAGGTCAAGAAAAGTTTAATATTCACAAATAAATTCTAGAGGAATATTCCAAATCAGACTTTTTATTTTGTTTTATATTCATCTACACACAGAAGTATAGATTGGCTTTATAAGTTCTCCTAGCAATTCGGTGACTAATAAGGACCTTATCTATAATTATGTGCTGAATAGCGAGAAACGGCCAACATTAATTCATTCAAGATTTTTCCTTTTTGTCAACATGAAAAGAACAAATCGATTATTTAGCTCGCTAAACCTAAACCAAGATTGCAGCTGCATTATTTTAAAAACTCAAGTGCAATACAATGTGAAATGTAGATTCATTTAAGATCAAAACGTCACCTATCTATAATCAATAAAACGAATCCAAAAGCAAACGCAAATTAAAGTGGTTTTTCAAGCTACTTTCGAGGATTGTCCACCAATTATTTTAGACGTAGAAATTCCCATTCGAAAATTCAAAAACCTGATTCTTTTTATGCCAAGAAGCAACGACGACAGCATCAGTATCATTATCGTCATCACCTCCACTGACTTTTTACACGGATGCAGGCAGTTCGAAATAATATTTGGAGAATAGCACACAAATGAGAAGAAAAACATCATCGGGGAGAGCAGAGACAAACGAGATACACATTCACAGAGATATGAACATTAATATTATTGCTTCATTCTACGCGCCACATCACCTCCTCCTCACAGCTCTTCCGTCTCTGTTCATCATCGAGTGAACAATGCTGATTAAAAGAGAAAAAGCAACTCGCAATCTCACACATAGAAACAACACATTATTATTTAGCCGACCTTGAACTTGAACGAACGACTGCCTCTCGGGCATTGTTTTTTATGTTTATTTTTGTTGCCGTTTGTTGCTATTGTTTTTGCTGATTAACAATTAACACAACGGGCATAGAAAGCGGATAAGCGAGAAAAGGAGAGGGTGCCAAAGTGCCGAGCGGATAGCTCAACGACAGTTTCATGGATATTAAAATATAAAGACTTTTTTTTTATAGCTCACCTGGCTAACGAGCAAAACAAAAATGCCCTTCATGAATTAATTGGTCAAACAAGATTGTTGTAGAAAATGTTCAAACGAAGGGGAAAGAGAACAAGTCTTTGTAGCTTTTCAGAAATTAACTACTCGGCTATTTTTAAATTGAACTTCAAAATCTTCAGTAAGATAATCTTACTGCTCCTTTGTGGCAGTTCCCTAGATCTTCTTCAACGAGACAAACTCAAAAGCCAGATGGAAACAACGCAACAACATTCTTTCAGAATAAAGTAATCCCTAGGCTTTCAAAAAATCCTAAACATACAATTTTTTGATCACTCTAAAAATAATACTTTACATTATGTTGTTTCTTATTCTAAAGATTACTTAAGACTTTTGTGAACCGAAAACCTATGAAAAAACTAATTTTGAACAAATCCCTATATCAACATGGTATAAATCATATGCTTTTTGAATCAGATTTTTTGATAATTAACCAAAAGGAGTAATAATTCACAGAAATCTCAAGAAGCTTTTAACAAAATTATGAAGGGAAGAAACTTTATAAACAAGTAACGTAGTGTATTCTATTTGCACATTGTCAGTTTTCACAAATATGTATATATATTAATCGTTCGAGAATGCAGTTTTTCGTTGGTGTATTTTTGGATGTAGTTTTAAATGTTTGTTTGGCACCGACGACGCTTCAAGCAATTTCGAGAAACAAAACGCCAAACGCAATTAAATTAAAAATTCAAGTAAAGTATATAAACAATGTAAATTTAAAACGTACACACTTAGAATTAAATCGAAGGAATAAGATTGTAGAAAACGGCGAAAAGAATAACACTTATAGCTTACCCATTGTTCAGCGCCATTCAAACTCTTTTTCGGGAGAAAGAGAGCAGCAAAGGGCGCGCCCTTCATCCTTTTTCAAGATTTCACAAGCTTTTTTGCTTGATTGATCACATTACCTGGTAAGTTGCTGAAATTTATTGTTCAAGGAATGAGAGATGATTTTGGGAATTTTGTTTAGGATTTTGGGATAAGGATTGGGGAAACGGGGTGGTGTTCTTTTGGAGCGCAACATAAAGAAAACTTAAAAAATACAAAATTTACTTCATTTTGTATGGCACTCCGCCCAACCGATACCGTCGAGCGAAGCATACTCACCTGAGGATCGGGATTCGTGGGATGTGTCCAGCAGGCGGCGTCATATCGTCGGAATGCCCAAAGCTGCGATCGTACCTCGCCATCCTTACGGATTGGCTACATGCTTTGTTTTCGTGGCAACGACGACTCCAGCGATGAACCTCTAAGACGATGCCTCCTCCATGCTGTTACCCGTTTCTCCTCAGACATCACTTTGGTTTTTGTTAAAAAATCACTTGGCACTTGACTTGTTTACAGTTTAGATTTTTAGTTGTTACTTTCAACAATTTCGAATGTCTTTAACGTTTAAAGACTTTACGCGGAAAAGCCCGAATTTCGTAATTTCAAACGGTAATCTTACAAACTAACTTTAAAACTATCAACAAATATAAAAATAAAAAATAAACAAAGAAAAAAGTCCCGTCAACCAAAATAAAGCAAAATATATATATGTGTATATATAGAGAGATAGTACTAAAATACAATTTAAAACTGCATGCGTATTTCTCGTAATCATATATAATATAAATATAATGTGTAAAATAAAACAAAAACAACTATGTATACAAAATAAACATTAGCACGCGCTGAGAGTTCTAAAAACAGATTTTTTGACAATCAAAATGGAACAGAAATGACTATCAATGGGTGTGAAAAATATGAAATTGTATGGTATGGTTTGTATGTGTGTGTGTGTGTTGTGTGTGTGTGTGTGGTGGGAGATGCTTTTTTGAAATATGCAAACACAAAGTTTAAGTTAAATCCCGTTACTGTTTAAATTGCTAGAAGTCAACTTTTGGCGCAACTGTACTGAGAGCTTTCATTTTAAGAGAAGGGGGTTGTGGGTAATACTTGTTGTGGTTCTTGCCAGAGCCCTGCCAACAAACACACACACTCAATGGAGACACGTACACAAACAGCAGCTTAGAGAGAGCAAGAGCAATAGCAAGAGAAAGCAAGTGAAGGGGAGAGAGATCAACACAAACACTCGCACACATATTTGGGAATACACGCACAGAAAAGAATTTGTTTAATACGTACACTTTTATAAAAACTAACTTAAATGATAAGGCATTCTATCATTTCGTTGTTTCTTTTTAAATACTATTATTATTCCTATTATACATCCTAGTTTAAAGCTGCAGTGTATGTTTGTGTATGTGATTGTGTATGAAAATATATATTTTTGAATTTTTATGAATGATGAATGCATTTTTCTTCGCTCTGCAGCTAACGGCTTTTGTTGGAAAGAGAGAGAGGGCCAGAGAGTAGAGACAGTGGGCAGGGGGATAAGAGACAGAGATAGACAGTAAGGGAAAATGTTTTCAGGAATGCTTTTTTAAAACATTTACAGAGTAAATAAAGCAAATAAAATTGTTAATTCAAACACCAATTGTAAAACAACAACAAATGATCATACATATAGAATCATACATATATATATTCAATAATAATGGTAAAATGAGGGAATGTTACGGGGTTTTTGTTGTGGGTGATTTTGTGGTTTTTATATAGCAAATATATATATGTGTTATGTTTTTGTGTGAGTGAGTGGTATAAAGTGTTTCTCATTTTGTGTGTTAAAAAATTAATAAGTATAATAAGTATATGTACAAAAAAAAAGATTACTAGGAGTTATACGAATTAAACAAGTGTGTGTCATAATTAAAAAATGATTAGTCTTGATTTTAAAAAATCATGTTAAGTAAAGAAAGATTTTTTCTTTTAAGTAAATACTTTTCAACTTGCACAAATTATTCTTGTTTCGGGTTAATTATTCTTCTGTTTTTTTTTCTCTGTCGGAGTTGTTATAAAAAAAAGAGAGAAGAAAACACTGCTTCAAGTTTACCAGAAATCAGAGTCGTAAATTTCTCGCTCATCAACATTAATTTTGCAGTTCTTTCGTTTTGTTTTGTTCTTTCTTTCTTTTCGCCAACTCTTGCTCACAAAGATCTTGTTATTTTTGTATTGTTTTGTATTTGTACTTTTTCTTGTTGCTTGCTTTTTTTCGTCTGATGCTATCTTGTTGAAAATTATATTCGAAAAAGGTCTCTATTAAATGATTTTTTTTTTTTCAACGTTTAAGAGCTTTTTTCGGAGCACGACATTTAAAATGTGAAAAAATCAAGATGTATATATGTGTATTTTTTTTTTCATGGAAATAATGAAGTTGTGACCTTGGTATAACGTGGATTCATTCTTAATCTGCATTTGCATTTGAAATTTAAGCTTGTCATGGTTGTTGTCGTGCTCGCTGAGTTCGAAAAACATCTCTTCTTCTCTGTCTAATAAACTTCTAAGCTAAGCTGTACTTTTTGCTTTTTCATTTGTTCGTAGTAGCTCATATATATATATTGTATATAATCGACTTTGGAGGCAACAAACACTCACCTTGGGGATCCCGTTGCTGCGCATCCTGTGCCATTAGTCCAAGTTCATCCTGAGATCTGTCGTGCTGCCATGCATATGCTATTTTGAAAGGAAGAAGTAATATTAGTTTCGGCCACTTTAAAAAGGCTCCGCAGGCATATGCAATACTCACTTTGACTAGATCCTTCACCACCCTGGCTGGTGCCGGCCGTCTGGTCCAGCTCTTCCATTGTCATGTCCTCCTCGTCCAATGTCAAATCCTCTACGTTCTCATCGTGCGCATCATCGTCGTATTCGGCTTTGGGTTCAATCACCATCTCAGAGCCCACCGACGACACGCTGTTGTCTTTGATCTTCTGTTGTTTATGATTTGACGACGATTTGTCCACAACGCTGGCCAACTGCTTGACCACAACTCCGGTATGAACGGCTGCAGAGGCGGAGGCGGAGGCAGGATTGGGACCACTGATGGCACTTGCACCGCCAACGGCGCTTGCTTCATCCATGTCCTCGTCATCACCTTCGACGCCGCCTTGGGCGCCGCCTTGGCTCTGGGCTTGTACATTCTCGGTATTAATGGCATCGCTTGTGGTCTGCGCCTGTTGGGCCTGCTGTTGTTGGGCGGACACTGACGCAGCTGTTCCGCTCGCAGGTGCGGCTGTCGAGGATGTTAGTTTAGCGCTTTCAGTCTTTTTGGTAACGTTGGTGCTGGTCAATGGCTGCTGTTGCTGGTTCGACGCTTGGCTGCTGGTTCCGGCTGCCGATCCACTCGACAGCTGGGTGCTGACCAAAGCGGAGACCGCGAGCCCAGCGCCCGTCTGTTGGAGGATTGACTGATTCGAGGCGACGGCTTGTAACACGGACGAGTTGGAGTTGTCGTGGGCATCTGCAAAAGAAAAATTGAGAAAATCCATTAATTAATTTGAAATTTATTCAAATTATCCAAGACATAAGTTCTTGGCCGTACTTTATTTATTAAAAATCAAAAACACTAACCATTTTCCATGCTGCGACGTCTGACTTTCCGGCGACGACGCGAAGGACTCGAAGAGCCCTCGCGTGAACCCGACACATCACCAGACGCATCCATCGCACCGCCGGTGGCCAGGCGGGCGCGCTTTGTCTGCTCTAGTGTGTAGGCGCCACTAAGCTTGCCGCGATGATGCTGCTGTTGCTGTGTGGACTCCGGCTTGGGTGCCGATCCACCGCCAGTGCGATTGTCAGACAGACCCTTGATCTGCAGCGACTCTGCGGCCTTGAGCAAAGCGGCCAGCTGATCCTGCGAGATATTGACCTCGCCGCGGTACATGTAGTCCATCATGGCACGCAGCTCCTGGTACTTGACATCCTTGAGTATGAAGATGGGATGCTTGTCGTACTGTTCTTGAAGTAAGGTCTGCAATGAAAAGGATTTTTGAGCATTATAGAGGGCACAATTGCAGGGGTTTTACGCTAGAAATACTCACAGCAAAGTAAGGACTGCATGCTGACAGCACCACCTTGTGGGCCTTGAGAAATTTGCCCTCGGCGGCTAGCGTGCAATCGACTAGAGTCTCGTTCTCCAGCAACGTGTCGAACACGCTGATCAGAGTGCTCTGGTGGTTGTTCCACCGCAGGCAGAACTGCTGATCGTCATCCATTTTGGGGGCTTGGATCCGGGGTGGTTATTTAGGGGGGAAATGGGTGGGCCCACGTCCTTGACGTGGCTCGTTGTGCTCCCTCTCTCTGGTTAAGGGTTTTTTTCGCCACTCGCTTGCTGATTTTTACAATTTGCAACTTAGGGGAGAACAATGGGGGTATACAAAAACTTCTGCCTCTTATTCTTCTTTCCGGTTGTGTGTGTCAGCAGTTATGCTGTAAAGAGAGTGACGAAACATAAAATAAAATTAGTTACGTTTTAACGAGAAAAAACTCTGAATAATTCACATTATATGGCGGCAAGGTCAAGTTCATGTTCGATTTCAGTATAGAGTAATCCCACAAAATGAACGTTTTCCTTTATAAATAATTTGATTGTATTATTTTCATTTGGATTTTAAGTAAAAATATATCAAACGCGTTGTTTTTTTAATTATCAATATGAATGTATATATCTATTTTTTGTAATAGCTTTACAAAATTTCCACTTTAGCGAGAGGAATTTCGTCTCTCTTGCACTTTGAAAATTTCAGGTAGATTATTATGGTTATTTTGCATTCACACACATTTAAACTTGCAGTTGAAATGCAATTTTTGTTCTTTTTTTTTCAAGTGAGTTAATTTTTCAACTTTGCTCTTTCCAACGGAACACACGCTCCCTATTTCTCTATGTTTCTGCTTCTGCTGCGTGTGTGCCAGTGTGGATGGAGATCGATGGATACGATAAAAGACGAAGAGACTTCGTGACGACCGAAAAAAAAACGAAGCATGAAACATAAAGAGGGGAAGTTCAGCAGTCGGCGTCGCTGCACACATATGCACATGTGCGTGTGCCTCGATTTTTGTTCCTTCTCCGTTGTGGAAAATTTCACAAGTAGACACAAACGAATATTTATGATGATTTTCATTTTCCCCCTCGCTCACACAGACACGCGGAGACAAACACTAATGCGCGCTCGTTGCTGGCTGATAATTTTTAAAGTTGAAGTGTGGAGCAATCGTTTCAGTTTTTTATGGTGTGTTTAAAAATAGAACGTTTTTCATTAGAAGCAACCAACACATGTACACAAACAATATAGATATGGGCGCTATTTCACAATTTCCCTCTCGCTCACTCCTTCGCTCTATCGACCGATTATGCTTCACTTCCACACCCATACAGGCACAAGCACACTTACTGTTGTAAATAATTAGCACTGCAAAGGTTGGTTTTTCTATTCTAGCTCCGTTTGCCGTAGGTGTAGCCGTAGTATATGAGTTGCTGTGTATGAAATGTAGTCAGCAAACCGCACGCGTTGTTGTTTCGCGATCTGCCGCACACGAAAACCAAGCAAAGGGAGAGCACGAAAGCAAATGAAACGACGCAAATGTAACGGCAACTGAGCGACCCTCGCTCGAGCCGACATCTCCTCCCCACTGCACGCTCTCGACGCGTTCGTTTTGTGCTCTCTCACCAATGGCCGCCCTGCAAACGAAGTTGCTGCGTGAGCGAGCGGAGCGGCTGTCTGTGGGCCAGAGCGAGAGCGACAGAGGGAGAGTTACTCTCTCTCGTCTCGCCTTTGGGGGCACGTTATGAAATGCCAGGTAGACAGAAAGAGAGAGAAAGAGGCAGGTAGGCCGTAGCAGCGACTGCGACGTCGACAGAGGAAAAAGGAGCCCAAAGGAAAAAGGAGAACTGCAGCAACAATAATCGTGCCAAAGCGAAATAACGGGAAATACATACAAGGACATGAAACGAACACACACACATTTACAGGTAGCGTAAATTTGCAGGAAAATATTTATGCGTTGATTTACTAGCAAACATAATTTGCAAAATGATTTTGTACTTGGTAGAACTTTTATACACACTACTTTTTAATCATTAAGAAAAATAAAGCAGATGCTTAATAAACTGGGAACGCTGCTGAATACGTGACTAGAGGCTCAATTTTTCACTCCCCTTAGTGTTTTCTTGCTACTTTTTGCCAGATCCAGGCGAAAAATTTACTAAGTGAGGGAAAGGCAGACAGAAGCACCCCCAGGGAGTCCCGCAGTACCCAGCGATGTACCGTTAGGCGGAGGGATCAGTTTTTCGAGATTTTGTTATACACACCACAGAGATGGTCCACAGGGAAGGAAGGTGCAAGGCATGCGCACAAAATAGAAATCACGAAAGAGAAAACAACAACGGCTGCTGTTACCCCAACGTTGATGCGTTGGATGGGTTTTCCACAGACACCCAGCCACACACACACGAATACAGACGCCACAAAGAGAAGTAGGTAAAAACTGCAGAGGGAGGCAGCAAAAAGGATCTCTCCCGTTCTCTCTTTGCATCTCCTTTTTGACGCGCGCTCTTTGCACATTGCAAGGTTTTATTTTTGCGCAGATGGTGGAGGATTATGAATTGGGATCCTGTGACGAAGCGAAAGAGCAAGAGAGAGCGACCGAGCGGGCACCCGACCAGTGAGTTAGTGTGCGTGCGGAAAAGTACAGTTGGGCCCAAAGACGTGCACTTCTTTGGGGTTCGCTTTTCCCACCGGGTATGGGTAATGAGTAATCGGTGATTAGAAGTTTTGTGCTGAGGTCTACTATCAAACGATGTGGCAACAGCATTCAAAAATGTTTTGGTCAAGATAAAATCCAAAACACTATTTACATCTACTGTTGCAAATGGGGGAAATGGGTGAAGTTCATAGGAGCACCTAGGACATTATTTTTGTATAAACTTAAAAGAAGTAAATTATAATAACTCTGTTTATAATAATAATAATAATGATAATTACAGGAGTGTATTGGTTCCTATTTGAAGATAAAATTACAGATCAATATTTCTCAAAAGTTGTGTATAATTCTGTGTTGAGGTCTACTATCAAACGATGTCCAATATTTTAAGGTTTTACGGATCATTGTTAGCGAAAATCTCAACTGTTTTTTTATCTGGCAATTGCACTTGGTTATGCTTTGATTAGATAATTCCAAAACACTTAAAAACTGCTATTGCACGATATAAGAATGAGTCAATGGGTCATCATTTAACAATTGATGATAGAAAGGTTTAAACATACAGTTGCGGCAAAAAAAATAGCACTGCGTCATATAAAATTCTTTGATGGAATACATCTTTTGTTTTTTTTTGTAATTGGTTTAAAAATTTTGTTGTACAGTATAGGCTTACATGTGATCTCTCTGAGAGTAATGTGTTTATGCTCAATTTGCGTACGGTTTTTTCTGTATAAGGCATCTCAGCAAACGAAGTTCAAAACAGAGCGGCAAAAAAAATAGCACTGGTAACGGTTTTTTTAGAACAGACTGCAGGTGTTCGGCGACATGATGATTGTTGTTGTGTCTTCGGACAGTAAATGCATTGTATTGCAAAGTCGAGTCGACGCTCTTCATTAAGATCAAAAAAATTATTAATTATGGGTCGCGGAAAGCATTGTACTGACGAAAAGAGGAAAATCATTAAAAAGCTTATCGAGGAAGGCAACACCTACGCTCAGGTGGGGCAAATCGTCGGTTGCTCCAATAAAATGATTAGTAATGCCTTAAATTATAAAAATAAACCAGAAACACGCGGTAGAAAAGCCGCAATGTCTAATTTGCTGGTGAACAGACTGGTTCGCGAGTGCAAGAAGGCCCCCTTTAAGCCGGCTACTGAGCTAAAGAAGGAGCTTAACATATCGGCTTGCATTAAAACAGTTCGGAATCGCTTAAAAGATTATAAATTAAGTGCCCGTAGTCCGAGAAAAGTTCCACTTTTGAATGCGAAGCATGTGGCAAAGAGAATAGAGTTTGCCAAAGAGCACCTGAATTGGCCGGCAGAAAAGTGGAGAAACATCCTATGGTCGGATGAAAGCAAAATCGTGCTATTTGGAGGAAGAGGATCTCGATCCTATGTACGGCGACCCCCCAATTCGGAATACCGCCCAAGTTTCACCTGCAAGACCATAAAACACGGTGGAACGAGTATCATGGTTTGGGCATGCTTTTCTTATTACGGAGTGGGTCCAATACATTGGATAAAGGGTATTATGGATCAACATGTCTATTGCGATATTTTGCAAACAGTGATGCTGCCTTATGCAGAATACGAAATGCCGTTGTTGTGGGTCTTCCAACAGGATAACGACCCTAAACATACCAGCAAGAAGGCTCGAAAGTGGTTTCAAGACAGATCCCTTCACCTAATGGATTGGCCTGCTCAGTCTCCAGACTTAAACCCGATCGAGAATCTTTGGTCTGATGTAAAAAAATATGTTTCCAATGCAAAACCAAGGAATAATCAGGAGCTCTGGGCCACCATTCAAGAATCATGGAGCAGTATTCCACGGGAAAGGTGCCAAAATTTGGTCAATTCTATGCCGAGACGTTGTGCTGCTGTCATTGCTGCTAAAGGTTTTACAACGAAATATTAATACACTATATCGATAAGGAATACAAATGAATACAAATATTCCAGAACTTCCCGTTTTTTTTTCGTTTTTTTTCGTTTTCTTAAGTTATTTTTGAAATAGTGCTATTTTTGTTGCCGCCTAAAATGTTCAACTTTCACATTCTTAATGTAACTATTTCAATTTCATGTTATTATCGACGACACTTGCAGTGTATTTCGATAAATTAGAGCCTAAAGTAAAAAGAAAAGCCTTAAACAAGTTAAATATATTAATAGTTATAAAACAAATAACCAATAAAGAAAAATATATGTCATGGTGCTATTTTTTTTGCCGCAGCTGTAAGTATTTCAGTTTATGTAAAATTCTTCTATTGAATATAAAAATTCTGTGTTGAAATCTACTATCAAACTACGTTCAAATTATTATGTTTACGAAACGTTGTTAGCGAAAAATTCAACTGGAATATACTCTAGCAGCCGCACTTTTTCACAAAAAATGTCTACACTTTTCATAAATTCCATTGGCTAGCTGCCACTATGATTATTTTAAAACTTCTTAAATATAATATTGAATTTGTGTTGAGATCTACTATCAAACTACGTTTAAAATGTTCAATTTAACAAACGTTGTTAGCGAAAAACTCAACTGCAAATTTGTTTTTAGCAGCCGCTGGATTGTACGAAAATTGGGTGGTTATCATTCGTACTTGAATAAAGCGAGTTGCTGTTTTCATAAATTTATATACATACATATATTAGGATAATACTTTATATCAAGTATCCTTTTGTTATAAACATGTTTTAAGAATACAAGAACAAAAAAAATTAAAAAAAACTATAATCCTGGGTTTATTGCCTACAGATTCGAGTGCCAGATGGAAATGGAAATGGGATGCATTGATGGGATGGGGAGCGGAGCGGATAATAAAGGATGTCCATGTCGATGTCGGTCCCCTTTTCCCGAAGCACGCGCCAGACGGTACGAAAACTAAGGTAACCCCGGGGAACTGGTTTTACGGGTAGGAGGGCGAGGGTCCTGCAGACCTGGGTTTTTGGGGTTGCAATCATCCCCTAAACTAAACAGATCCCCCTTCTCCCTCCTTTTTTTTTCTTATTCTATATAGTCCAGGCGGCAGATGTTGGATCACAACAACTGCCGTCTACAGCCACTGTTGTCGTGGTCCTTTTTATCCTCTCTACAGGAAGTGGCAAAGCCTGGAAATTGGAAACGCAACACAAAGAGAATGGGCCCCCAGAGTGAAAATTCCCGGCCAACGAAAAAGAGACGGAGAGAGCTGAACTTGGGAATATTAATGGGGCTGGTTTTCAGTTCTGAGTGCTCGGTTCTGTGTGTGTGCAAAAAGTCAAAAGAAAAACCGGTTCCGCAGAAATACAAGAACTGTGCCATTTCGAAAACGAACACAAAATGGGAGGAAAAAAAATAAACATACAAAAAAAAAAAAGAAATAATGGATGGAGGAGCGGGTGGCCATCGTCGAACTGCTGCTGCTGTTGGCTTAGAGATCCAAGATCCAAAGCGATCCGATCCGATATGCGATCGGCTGGCAGAAAAACCAGTTTCAAGAAACTTATTTTATTTCACATCACAGCCAGAAAAGTCGCCATGACACACACATACACACATATTCAGAAAAACAAATTTAAAATGGAAATAACTTAAAAAAGAAACCGAGGGAGAGAAGCCGTCAGCCAGCCAGCCATGCTAAGAACAAGAACTTCCCCCACAAGATTTTTGCATAAAGTGGAATCTTTTTCTGCTCATCTGTATGTGTGCTGCGAGAGATAAAATTTGTATATTTACGACGTAAAAATAAACTCGACGACTCTCGCACTGACTTTCAATAATTTAATTTCTGGCAGCTGAAAATGTTGCTGAATAGCACCGCACAGCGCACAGCACAGCAACTCTCTCGGTTCGAAGCCCAAAAAACCACCTCTGAAAACTCACGTAGGCGTCTCTCGTCGCCTGTCGCTCATTTATTTATTTTTACACCCTTTTTTCTGCTCGTCAAATTGTTGTTTTCTTGCAAAAACAGGCTATAAACGTGTGTCGATTGAGAAAAGTTGAATCAAGTGTAAGGGAACGAAACGGTGGGATCATGTGAAAGTAACTACTAACAATCTGTGAGTCAACACACTCTGTATCGTCAGTGTAAATTACCCAAAAATATGATTTATTGCAACTGTTGAATATTATTATTTCCCAGAAATTACAAAGTAATTTTCCAAGTCGTCAGAGCTAAAACCAGTCTTGAGCAATTAGGAGCCTGGTAATGTAATGGATTTACTGCAAGTCAGACTGCAACATATTAGTTGTTTGCTCATGGAAATTGTAATAAAATAGTATCAGTAGCAAGATCTTGCATATGGTTATCAATATTGTTAGTGTTGCATAAAACCAGTAGTTCTAGTAATTAACAATAAATTGCTGCCTACGACCTTTTAATTATAGGATAATAACGACAACTTTAAACAAATATTCAAAGATAACGTTTAAAGAATCTAGACCCTAACAGGAACTTGATTTTCTTAACCTAATTTATGTATAGAACAATTTTTTCAAAGTGTATTGAAGATTTTGTTTTCCATTTTCATGGGTTTTTTCATTTCCTTCTTCCCTTCCCCATTCACTCTGTTTTGTTCTGTGCTCGGCCGCAGAAAATGTCGTTTTGCCATTAAAGCAGCGAAAAATAACAAGAAAACGTCAACCACAAAAACTTGTTTCTCGAAAAGCTATTTAAAGTGAATGTTAAGGGCTTGTTATGCGCGAGTGTATCTGTATCTGTTGAATGTATCTGCGATCGCGAGTGTGGGAGCGGCGGAGGAAGTCGCAGCTTTGAGGTTATCTCTATTTATTTAGCAGGCTTCCAAATTCAGATTTTTGTATCGCTTGTTTCGTTTTTTGTTAGCCAGATTTTTTGAGTATGCTGTAACCGTCAATTCTGGTCACAAAGCTGTGGGTTTTTCCGCCATTATATAAGGGCCATTGACGTTTTTGCTATACAAAGACAAGTAAGCAAAGGTAAAGCATTATTCCCGTAGAAGTGGTTTTTAATAAAAATTGAACTTTAAGAAAACATATTCTAAATTGCAATGCATTGTACCTTGTTGATTTGCAACTTATAAATACACCTAATTAAACTTCATAATAAATGTAATTATTATGATAGACGTGCCTTTTGTAAAGTTTTTTTTTTATACTAAATTACCTCTGACTCGTAGTGAAAGTGAAAAAACTAAGCCACCAAAAATAATCAACAATAAAAGGCAAAATAAAAACGCACACACACAGTTCAATGAACTTTTTTGCGCTAATGGCCAAAGCGAAAAGGTAAATAATAAAAACTAACGAAAAAATAAAAAGTCGAACAAAGAGCAGGCGGCGATAGCGGGGAGCACAGGCCCAATAAGGTTCACCTTGCTTATTATATTGCCTATCCTTTTCTATCTAGTTCTTTAGTTTCTTTATTTTTATTCGCATTTGTTGTTTACTTTGTAATTACAAGGGGAACATTGGAGAAGCACAAAAAATATTGCAGAAAAGGTGCGACATATTTTTAAAATTTTTTTGGCACGCGTGTTGTAGGTCAGAAATCAACTACAAGGTCGCTTGGTGTTTTAAAATCAGATGACTTGAGAAATAAGTGCGAAACGCGAAATGGTAAACAAAGCATGAAAGCAAACGAAAATCAGTCTGTTTCTGCGTTTTCGGCACTTTTCTTGTTTGTCGTCGTTGCCCCTTCTATTTCTCAATTTCTACACTTGTTGCGCAAAAGCTTTAATTTTTTTTTAGCGAGATATTCTTTATTATTGTTATTATTCTGCACATGTGCGTGGAATGTAAACAAATGAAACTTTTTGTCGAAAAGTTTTCGTACGCGAAATTCGGCAACGTTGCACTGCTGCTCGATAATACATCAAAGATTAAAGCGCGAGAGAGACGAAAATATGAAAAATGAAAATGTAAACGTGTCTCTAGAGCAGACAGAAAAATAAAAACAACAATAACGGCCAAGTAGAAGTGTAGCACAAAGTGGAAACAGAAAAATATGTGGCGGTCGGTTGTGCGAAAGAGAAGGGGATGCGAGTAGGCGAGTGCCAACTTGACGACCCTCTCTCGTGTTCGGACTCTCTATCTGCTGCCACTCTTCTGTGTGTGTGAAAAGTGCAGAGAAAATTTCACGCTTGTTTTTGTTGTTGTTTTTTCGTCGTTCGAACAAACATAAAAACGAAAAGCAAGCGAGAGGGAGTAAAGGAGAGAGAAAGAGAGCGCACATATTTTTATGTCGACTCGTTGGGGGGAAAAACCAAGATGGCGGCCACCGAGACATTTGGGAATCTAGCAAAGTGAAAAACGTGCTTTTTTCTAGGAGTTCGCGAACAGAAATTTTTTATTTTTTAACTCTTCTGCATCGGAAGCCCTTTGTTTATAATTTAAATTTTTACACAAGCTTTTAGCTGGTATGCCTCTCCAGAATTTGTAAAAAAGCTTATGTAACACACACTCACTCTCACACGCAGGCGGGAAAACACATTTGCCCACTGCAACACTTGACCTCATTTGCATGGAAAGTGAGCCAGTGTCAGAGTATGTGTGCCTGTGACAATTAATGAAAACCGTCTGTCATTTACTTGAGCGTTGCATTTTCCGAGAAAGCTCTTTCTCTTCCTCTCACTCTCTCCGCATACATATATTTGTCGTCGTTGGTGAAAAGCTTTCTCCGACATGGAAAAATCGATGAAAACACCACTGGAAATATTGATTTGATATGCAAAAACACGCACACACTCACACTCTCAAGCACACGAAGATAATTGCCAAGTACAGTTGAAGGCAGTGTGATATTCATTATGTTTTCATTGTTTTTTGTTCTTAATTTTTTATATTGTATTTTATACACACCGAAATAGAATCACAGGCAGCACGAGTCAGTCGTCAACAAACTTTGCACATATCAAATTTAGGTGTTGCTTTTCCAATACACACACTCGCACGATAACGCGACGGGAAAAGCAATAAAGTTGAATTTATTTTTACTGCATAGGGATGTGGCCGTGTATGTGTATGTATTTTCCTTTCCCGCTGCGTTGGGGAGCAGAAAGAAAAGTAGGCAGCAACAGCAACGCACCACACTGAAAATGTCGGACGCGGAGCCACTGAAGAAAAGCTGACGACTGACGAAAAAGCGGAGGCGCAAAAAGAAACAGAAACGGCAAAACCGATGTCGAACCGAAGCAAGGTACGAAAGCCGAAAGCAGAAACGAGCGAGTGAGAGTGTGAGTGCGAGTTCGAAAAATGAGTTGACGTCGTCGTCTGTTTGTCTCTCTCTTTTTATGAGACGGTGTGCGTGTGCAAGTGTGCTTTGTATGCTTGCCGCGCAGAGTTGCCAACCCTTCAAAACAGATCGACTAAAATATAATGTTTTAATTATGAGGAAAAAAGTAACTAATTATTGGTTATTAAAGAGGAACTTTCTGGTGCACGATCTGCAATTGTCAGTTTATAAGTGTTCTGCGATCAACACCGTTAAGATAAGACATTTCATAATAATTAGACCAACAAATTTAGAGTTATGGAACAGAATCAAATCTGAAAACGGAAGCAGCTTGGCAACTCTGTTTCGATGTGGCGGAGTTCGAAAATATCATTTTCAGTCCCAACTGTTGTTGTTTTTTCTTTTTTGTCCACCAAAGGGGCGAGATTTTGTTGTTGTTGGCAAAGCGAAGCCATAATGTTCGCCAAAGCCGAATGCTAGGAATTACCGTTGCCGAGCGCAATCTCTCACGCTCTCTTTCTCCCTCTTGTTTCCACTCTCTCTCTATTTTCCTCTGCCTGCAGCTCTCCCGCTCCCGCGTTGCACTTGAGAGTGTGTCCGAGTGCGAGGGCAATAGTTTTGTATGCAATGCATTTTCTACTAAAAAGCGCCAATTATATTTTGCTTTTATGATCGGCCTCCGCTGCCGTTGATTTATTTTTGGCTTCCAGCATGACTTCATCGCCTCGCGTTTTTCCGCACTCTCTAATCTCTAATTTCGTAAAAATTATGCACCTTATGTACCTTAATTCTTAACGGTTTTCGGCACTGGGGAATTAACATTTCAGTGCGAAATTCTACACGCCAAATGCTAATCGATCCAGTGGAGACAATTCTAGGAGTGCCGCCCGGTGCGAACATAAATTTTACAGATCTTTGGACCCCCAAGCAGATAGCAAGATAATGTGCTACATAACATCACGCCGTTTGACAATCGCTCACCTGAATTTTCACTGGAGTTTTCATTGCAACTCGGTCACGTAGCGCCCCTCTCGCTGTCTCTCTCATTGACGCGCAGAAGCGGGGGGAGCAAACAAACACACACGCACACACACTAACGTGAATTATTATCTATGGTGAACTTTAATTTTTATAATTTATAGTTGTGCATATTCCTTCTGATCACAAAAAAACTGTTGTTTCACTCAGTTTTCCCTCGAAATATATTTGATATATTTTATGTAATGCGCGCAGCCAAAAAATTGTATGGATTTGTTTTTTGTGGGTGGGTACGAAAATTTAACGAGCGGAGCGACGATTTTATTCCTGAGAGTAGAGCTGGGAAACTATCGATAGTGACACCATTCGATATTTTCGATGTTTTGAAAACGAAAATTCGATACTATCGATAGTATCGTTTTTTTACGATTCTTTTTGCAAATTAAAGTTATAGCAATTTCAAATAGAATTATAATACTATTCAATATGTTTTGACTAAGTAATTAACATAAATATTCTATCCAAGCAACTTTGCACAAATAAAATTGTATTACCATTGCTAAACATACGCTTAGACTCTGAAGACGTGGCGTAGACGCACCCTTTCTTTTGAGATTCAGTTAATATTTTTCACCACCAACTCCAATTTAAGTTAATTTAGAATACATTTTTATTATAAAAAAAAAAATATATATATACATATATATATATATTTGTTTGCATTTTTCTTACTAAATTTCAGCAACAAAGCAGAGATATAAAAATAGTCCCGTACTATCGATAGTGATAAAAAACTATCGATGGTGGCTCAAAAAAAGGAAAAAGTCGATACCTCGATAGTACCATCGATAGTTTCCCAGCTCTACCTGAGAGTTGCCGTTTGTTTCTGAAAAATCGCTGCAAAAAAGTTTTGCGCGAGGCGCAAAGAATAAAAGTCGAAAAAGTGAGCTTGTGTATGTGTGTGTAAGCACGAAGTTTCTGCTTTTGTTGTTCTTTCTGCTGCATTCGAAAATCCGAAGATCGCTCGTGCGCTAGACGCAGTTGGTGTGAGCGAGACGGGCTCAGACGACGATACAGTTGATTGCTTTTTGCAACTGTCCGGTTGGAAAAGGGGCAGTCGGATGGCGGTGGAGGGGAAGAGACCCAGAATGAGTGTAGAAGGAAGCAATGGGTAAAGGAAGTCGTGCTAAATGAAAAGGCAAAGAAAATGTTTTTTTTTTTTTTCGGCAGGCACATACAAAAATATTTCACTGTTTTCTACATAATTATGTACATATATATTTATGCACACTGACATACATACATATGTGTGTAATTTTTTTTTTAAATTGGTTTTAAAATTGTTTTAGTGTAACTTAAATATTCTTCCTTAAGTTCCTTAAAATATACATACATATGTATGTATGTAAAAGTAATTTTAAAAAGCACAAGTTAAAAAAATCCAAGAAGAAATTATTTACATTATTAGAAGATACATACTTTTTAAATTACATATCTAAAATGTTGACCAAAGTATTGTATTTTGTTACTACGATGCACACTTTTTAGTACAATATTTTGTAATAAACGTAGCTAATTGATTATGATTAATAAATTATAATATATAATATTATTTTAAAAAAATTAGCGTAGTGTAAACTCTACACATTTAATAATATGAACTCAAAAAATGATGTTTAATGTGATCCTTAATATTCCTTTAGCAATTAATTCTGCATACTCACTTTTGTTAATTCAATAGAACATTGGACAAAAAGTATGATCAAATCTTTCAAATTGATTTTAAATTAATGACAGATAAGCCATGCTTTTGGACTTAAAAATAAGAAAGTAAATTTAATTGATGCTAAAGAACGTAATTCACCCGACACCTATCTGATGTGATTAAATAAATATTTTTAGCATGGCAATTAAAATTCCCGGGCGGGGAAGTAGAAAGGTGTCGGGAAAGATAAAACTTTCAATTTATGGTTCCACTCTTTTCTTTTTTTCGCATTTAGCTTTTTTGCATATCTGTTTGTTTTTGCCAATTGCTACTTTCTAATAAAATCGTCAATGTTCAAGCATACCTGCAAACAAAGTGAACACAAAAGCGTACATTCGAATAAATCTTTGCCCATTTTTTGTCTGTCTTGCATTAGCAATTGCCAGAAACTTGATTTTGATGCTTAAATATAAATGATTACTCGATTTGAACAAATATGTATAGTATATAACAAAAGTCAGCACAATACCATAATTACACAAGAAACAAGAACAACAATGCTGCTGCACATGAAGAAATAAGATAAAGACCTTACTTTTTTGTGTAAATTACTAATTAAGTAGAAAAGAATACATTTCAATTTTAAATAATATTGGATTTGATTTGAATCAGATAATCTTGAATCCGTTTGGCTTGTATTATCATAATTTAAAAAAATGTAAGTAATTAAAGTTTAGATATGTAGATATATATGAAGTGAGTGTGGGTTTTAATTTTTGATCAGATGTATGTTTTTTTTTTTTTTTTTTTTTTTTTTTTTTAATATTTAAGCAGAAATTCCTACACACATGTATGTATGTATGTACATACATACATATGTTTGATTGTATGTACATTGTACTCAAAATAAAGAATATTCATAATAAAAAAGTTTTAAGAACGATCTTGACTTTCTCGCAGTGTTCCCCATAAAGCTGCTTCTGTCGACGTCGACGCCCGCGCAGCAGCTTAAAAAAAGCTGCGCTCTCAAAGAAATTAACAATAAAAGTTGGAAATTTTTTCAACGCTTTTTTCGGCTCTCGCATGACGAAGAAAATATTTCGCCGAAAGCGGGAAGAAAGAAGAGGAAGAAGAAAGAAGTGGCAGAAGAAGCAGAGTTTCAAAACTCGTTTGGCATTCGAAATTTGTGAGTGTGTGTTAGTATTTTTGGCAAGACTTCGGCTTTTGTTGTTATTCCGCTGGCAAAGTGAAAATTTATGCCGCACCCCGCTCGAAAACAGCAACAACAATAAAGTTTGGAGTTCGTGATTTCACACAACACACACACACATGTACATAGAAGCACACACGAAAAATTCCAATCCATTTCAAAGCCCGCCAACAAATAAACAAAAGTCAATATGTAATTGAATTTTTTCCCCGTCTTCGTCAAGCACATTTTTGTGGCTTTTCTTTCCACACACTTCGTTGTATGTTTGTGTGTGTATGTCTTGTTGCTATTTTTGATTTCCATTATGATTTCGCGCCGCTCTTTTCACAGCTCCCAATTCCAATCACAATTTCAATTCCATTCCAAGTTTTGAGCTTTGCTCGTTTTCATTTCGAACTCGAAATAGAATTAGCATACATCTCTCTCTCTCTCTGTTGCTCGCACCAGCTCTCATTTACTCTCTTTTAGGCAATTTTCATGTGTGTGTTTGCAATGGGTGGGCGCAGGATTTTATTTAGGGGGTGATCTCAAGTGGAGTTCATCTTGGGAAAATATGTACATACATATTTATGTATGTAGATGCAATTAGTAGTTAAAAATTAAATATATGTACATAATTTTGTATACTAATATCAAACGGTAAAAAAAAAAATTACACTAGGAAAAAAGAAAATCTACAATTCAAAGAAATTCTAGAGAAAAACCCCTCTATGCCAACGCCACTGTTTTTTGAGTGATTGATGGCCCTGGCTTTTCAAAGAATGTTCGCTCGCAATCGAAATAAACCCCTTTTAACCCCCTGGTCAGCTTCCCCCTTTTTTTCGGAACCCCCCTCTAAAAAAATAAAGAGAACACAGAAATGGAGGCTGCCAAAAAAATATTTTTTGTTAATGGAACTTTCTGGTTTTCTTTCGCTGGCAAAAATTTAAATTCCTTTTCTTCTTTTGCTCATTACTTTTTGGGTCACACAGCAAAACAAAGATGATGAGCGATAGAGAGAGAAAGATAGATAGAGAGAGGGAGGAAGAGGAGGGTACGTACCATTAAATTGGTAACAAAAGCAAGTTAATCCGAGTGAAAGGAAAGGAAGCCATGGA